AAAAAAAAGAAAAGAACTCTTTTTGGGTTCTTCCCACATGTGGGGCAATCTAGCTTTAGCGTTCCTTCCCAATTCTCCTTGCTAATGATGCAAGAAAGATGAAAACTCCACATGCCATTAGCTCTTCTTCTCCAAAGAATCTCCAAGGAAAGAGACTTGGGAGAATTGCTCCTCCATCGTTATGAAAATGTTCCTGGCCACAGTTCCTTTTGTATTTTCTGTATCTGCTAACATAACATTCGGAGTAAGAAAGCCATGTCCCGCACCCCATGCTTTGTTTTGCTGGGGAAGCTGTGAGCTCTCTTCTCCTAAGGAGTGAGAATTAGGCAATTGTTCATATTTTCTTTTATGTCCGGCCTCCCTGGGAACTTGGAGCCAAATGAGAATCTTGCAGTAACTGTGTTCAGCCTGCAAGCTGCATCTTTTAGTTCTCACATCTCTTATGCAAATATTATTCTTCTTTCCATATCACTTCATTGTATTTAATGATTTTCGTAATTAGACCATATCCTTGGAAAGAAGCATAATAAAAACACATTCACAGATAATGAAGTCATCGATTACCATTTTTTTAAAGTACGAAAATCAAAAGGCACTCAAATCAGGTTAAATATCACTGCATGATCAGTGCTGGGGGTGGGGAAGGGCAGTCTGGTCAGTTTCAGTATTATTCTCACATAATTGTTTCAGGAAACATTCAGCCCCAATTTCAGTCTTATCTATTTCACTAAAAGCTTTTACATCTGGAAGGAAAACTATATCCTGTTTGCAATTCAGTAAAACTCAGTGGTAGGTGTGATTTGGTGACCCAGTCACCAAGCTCATCACCAGACTGGCACTTCAGCATCTTTGCTCCATGCAGGCAAAGGAGAGGAGCCATGAGCTGGCTGTCAGGCCAGTGTGGCTTCAGGTACGCTGAGCTGGGAATCCTGCACTGCCTGACATCCTCCCAGGATGGGTCTCGGATCCCTGTAGAATCCTCTTTGGCTCTCAGCAAATCAGGTTGATTGAAACTGTGCTGAGGTTCCAATTCCTCTCACATCACTGACAACAAAAGAGTAAAATGCCACAAACTCAAAGAGTATGAGGTTAGACAGGAGAGAAGATGCTGTATTGCTGGCTTTGAAGGTGGAGTACCGGGCCCTGAGCAGCCCTTGCAGCTGGAAAGGCAGGAAACGAATTCTCCCCAAAGTTCAGAAAGGCACACAGCCCTGACGACACCGGACTATAGCCCTGTGAGGCTCATCTTGGACTTCTGACCTCCAGAACTGTAAGAGAATACAGCTGTGTCGTTTTAAGCCACTGAGACACTGTGGGGTCACTTGCTACAGCAGCGATAAGAAACAGATACACAGTTTCTGAGCCTCAGTACCACTGACGTGTGGGACCAGGTGACAATCTGCTGTAGGAGGCTGATCCGAGGGCGTGGTTGAGGGTTTTACAACTCTGGCCTCCCCTTCCCCACTCATATCAATCAAAAGTGTCCTCAGTCATTGCCCAATGTCCCCTTGGGGGAAGTTGCCCTGCTGAGAACCGTCTTTCATGGTTTTTTTAATCTAGGAGACTCTCAGCTAAGCTCCTTCCACCCAGGGATTCACGGCACATCCTCCATCAAATTCACTAAGCCCTGAACGTGTGTCCCAGGCACTAAAGGCAGAGGGTTGCATAAATCATGGTGTGTGCCCTCAGAAAACTCAAAGTCAGTAACCGAGGCAGCTGCTGAAAGAATTACGTGGTAGCACCTCCTCTTGAGAGTTACGTCCTGAAAACTTAGAGCACACAGTGAGAAGCGGGATAGTCAGCTTGCTGAGAGCTGCAGGACCAGCTTGGTTCACATTCAGGGTCCTCAGTCAGAGAACAGGGCACCCTTCTTTGCTAATTGAGATGTAATCATTCTTTTCTAATTGAGAGGGAATCTGCATGCCATAAAGCTCACTGTTTTGGTGTGCAATGGCACAGTGCTGGTACATTCACAAAGTCTTGCAGCCATTATCACCATCTAACGTGAGAACACTTTCATCACTCCAAAAAGAACCTCATACCCCTTGGGGGTCTCATCCAATATTCCCATCCCCTCCACCCCCTCCAACCTCCTTCATCCGCCCCAACCTCC